TCAAAAGGTGCTTGTTTCAGATATACATCATGCAAGAGTTTGTCTTGGAATTCAGATACATAATGTAAATGGATTAGTAACTAATGTACAACTAATGGATCTAATTGTGTTGGAATTACATTATGTTCTGAAACAAATACTGATGGTGGATGTGTTACAGGATATGATGGAGCTTGTATTCAATCAGTTCCAGCTTTGAATTCTTCAGATCCAAAGGTTTGTAAACCATATACATCTTGTGCTGATGCCTTCTACACAACTCATTCAGATTGTTAAATTGCCAATAAGAAGTGTACAACAAATGGAACAACTGGTTGCATTGCATTAGGTGCTTGTTCATCTTACACTACATAAGCAGGATGTTATTTCAATGATAAAGGATCTGTTTTAACATCTGGAGCCATTACTTCAACTGGTATTTGTACTTGGGATACAACTGCTAGTAGTTGCAGAGATTAATCATGTGCTGACTTGACTGGAACTACACATGCAACATGTTCATCATAATTATCAACATGTACATCAGATGGAACAACTTGTTTAGTCAAAGGAGCATGTTCATCATACACTACATAAACTGCTTGCACAACAGCTGTTGGATCTGATGGCACTTGTTATTGGGAACTTGCATCTGCTACAAATAATAACACAGCTAAATGTAGATTACTTGCTTGTGCTGATATTCAAAATGGCACATCTACAAATGTTTGTTCAGTTGCTTTATCATCATGTGTTTCAAATGGAACTGCTTGTATTTCAAAAGCTAATTGTTCAACTTATACAACTAAGACAGCATGTAATTCAGGTGGATTAGATGGTATTTGTGTATTCACTTAATCAACTGCTACTGGAGCTGCTGCTGGAACAGGAACTTGTGCTTTAATGACAGCATGCGCAACTGCTAATAATGATTAACTTGCTTGTTAAGCTGCCAAAGATAGATGTTCATGGACTGCAGCATCAGGAACTGAAACAATTTTTGTTGCTAGTAAATGTGTCACTCATACTTGTAAAACAAACTAAGCTACAAATGGAGCTTGCACAAGATTCTTGAATTGGGATAAAAAGACTTAATAAATTTGTACTCTTGTTAGTGGAACATGCACAGCAACAGACCCATCAACTTTATCATCAAATGATTGTTTCTTGGTTTCTGGATATACTTATACTTGGAATACAGCTACAAGCAAATGCCTAGTTTGTACTGCTGTTATTGTTTAACCAAATAATACAGATAATAATAATACAAGCAATATAAATAATGAAACAACAGATTCAGGATGCATTCTTGGATTATTAACAATCATTTTTGGATATCTCATGTTCTAATGAGATGATTTAATAAATTTATATAGGGAAAATTATTATATTAATATAAAATTTTCAAATTTTGAAAAGTAGTAAACCCCTTCTAATAATAATACTTATTTTTTTTGGTTTATAGATTAAATTCAATTTAATCAATATAAAAACCTTTAGCAGTAGCTCTAGTTGCTGGATGAAATGCAAAGTTTCTTTTAATTTCAGTTTAATAATTAAATTGAGATGTAGTGGGGGGAGTCTGGCTCTGAGCAATCAAATTCAAGAAATTTAATAAGCTAATTTCTTGAAATTAATATAATACGTAATTCTAATAATAGAATTGGATAATTTTTTGAAATACAATAGCAAGGAAGTTAACTGGGAAATAGTCAAAATATCATTTCTAGAATAATATCGATAATAATCTCTTAATATTAAACAATGAATATATTGAATCTATACAATTATCGAATATCATTTTCGAATTATATCTGTTATTAGCTTATCGACATATTCTAATTTTGCTGGAGACAAGAGTAAATTTGACCTTTTAAAAATAAGGTGTAAATTACTAATATAATATAGAAAATATTAATGTTATTTAAAAAATTGAAAATTAAAGATTTACAGAATATCAATGCAGTTATAGCATCGAACATTAAAAAAAATTATGCTATTTTTATGCAGGGTATAATGTTTTTGCAATTTCAAAATAGATCTGTAGACATTTTCTAACATAAAAGCATAAAACTTAATTTTATCAAAACATATAGTAAACCATTTTATAAGAATTAAAACTTTTTAATTTAATAAGCTCTTTACAACTTTTAAAGTATAAGGAAGGAATAATTTATAGGCATAAAAAAATAATGTAATTTTTTATTTAGTTTCATTCCGCTTTTAATATGCTTTGAAAGAAATTTGGGTTTGATAAATCTTATTAATTATATTTTATTATCTCTTATTTTGGATTAAGCAATTTAAGCAGTTTATTCCAATTCAATAGGTTTTTTGACATTGTTTCGTAAGTTCCAAAAACATATTGACAATATCTTGCTCTAGAGAGTGCAACATTAGTTCTCTTCTTATCTGTCACAAAGCCTGCCTATTCATTTGATCTTACAAGTGATAAGATGATTATATCATTCTCCTTCCCTTAGAAGGAGTCAACAGTGTCTAATTCTATCAAATCACTTAATTTTATGATTTTTTTATAGCCTCTTATATCAATTACTTCCTTGAATGTTTCATCTTACAATTTTAGGTATAAATTTGTTTTCTAGGCTGCATAACAACTTATAACAGTAATTGAGTTCTTATTTGGCTTTATCTCCAAACCCTATAATAAATATTTAATTAAATGAATTATGGCTGAGCATTCTAAATCATTCTTTCTGCTTGTTTCCTCCCTACTTTCTGTGTTAGGGGGAGCACTAAAAAATAGTCTATTTCTTTTATTGGACACCTTCTATAATATCCAAGGCGGCAACTACATATTTTTAATACCATTGGTGAGTTTTCCATTATAAAATAATAATGAAGTAATTTCTGCTAAATTCTCCATTTGTCTGTATTAAGAAATCAACTAAACAGTGCTTGCATCTAATCCTTCATCCAATCTCTCAAATAAAGAGCGATTATAACCATATTCTTTTGATTCTCTAGAAACAACAATTGGACTTAATTATTGTAAATCACCAAGCAATACTATCTTCTGAATGTTAGTGTATTTCACCATTGGAATCAATAATGAGGGTTCCAAAGCTGTAGGCGCTTCATCAACTATGCACATTCGAAAATTAACTTTTTCAAAATAATATTCTAAGCACTCCTTTGAGCAACTATTTAAAGTAGACACTATAACGCGACACTAATTGTTTTATTAATATATATTACATTTTAAATTATACCTTATTCAATTACATTATAATTCTTTTTTTCTGTTTTTAATAATAAAGATAATTCTTTATAAAAACTACCATATGCATTTAATATTTCAGGTTTGCTACATTATCTATTAAGATCATCGATAAAATTTAATAATGAAATCAGGGTTATTTAGGCTTAATTAATTTCCAAAAATTCTTTATAATCCATCAAATTCTTATTTTTCAACTGATTTATGATTTTATCAGTTATATGCTTCTTCTCAATCTAATTTACTTTATCTGTAAGGCCTTAAAAGAATTGTTTTTGAGTTTGAATTTCTAAACTGCTTTCTTCAATATCTTAATCACACAAACGTGGTCTTCCAAATCGAATAACTTTCAAGAAATCTGGTTTTTAATTAAAACAATAAATAATTGAATTCTACTCTTAAATGTTTTTTTAAATTTTTCTCACTAAATCATTTACCACACTATTTGATTTGGCTAATATTAAAATACCCCCTAATTTTTCATTCTCTTTATCTTACTATACCAGCAACTCTGCCATTATTGATATGATTCCTAAAATTGTTTGAGTTTTACCAGTACCTGGAGGACCCTTTATAAGAGTAAACTTAGTTATTTTATTATATTTACTCTTTTATGGTAATCTAAGGCCATCTTGATGGCAAGTAATTATTAATCATTAAAATGCCTTTTAAATACTTCATTTTAAACATAATACTATCGTTGCTCATTTACTTATTTGGCAAATTCAGAAGTTTCAACCTGATTTACTTTTTCTATCGGATTCAATATCAAATTAAAATAAGGACATTTTTATAATGAAAATAGGCAATCTGTTTCTGTTTGGTAGGCACTTAAAGGACAGAATGGTTGAAAATAAATAAATCTGCTGTATAATATGTTAACAGGGAGATAATCAATTATGTTATTTGGAAGCAATATGTGTTGATCATCATCTTTCTTTTTAAAAATTGCCAAAGATGTGATATATTCATTTAATTAATTAGAATCCCTAATATATATTGCTCCTAGGTAGGAAAATGACTCATTGAAAATTAAGTAATCAGAATAATGTCTGTATTTCCAATACTAGTGTTAAGTTATATTAGGATCAAATTCTTCTAACTCAGATTCAATTTTAATTTTGAATGCATAATCCTCTAATTCACATGTAAGAATTTTTAATTTTAATGGAATTGATTCTCCATGCTTTAGTTCATATAGATAGCTCTTTTTATCTCTAGCAATTGATCTATAATATTCGTTTTAAAGAAGAGGGAAAAATCTTTTTTAATACTCATTTACAGATTAGAATTTTTTATATCCATTTAAATTGCTTCGATTGGCATTGCTATATCTCGGAATAGCCTTTTTAAAAGCTACATTAGAGATTAAATGCATTGGACTAGAGTATTGAGAATAATTATTATCCATTTAAAATATTATTGATTAATATTTTAAAAATATGTAGATAAGTAACTTACCTAAATATAATAAACATTTGATCTTTTTTCATATTTTATTTCGTAATAAGCCATTAAACAATGTACTTATTTTTGAATTTCAAAAGTTCTCATTGAGTTAAAATCTTTAATAATATTTTAAACTACTTTATTTATAGTCCTCCATTATCTTGCGATATCTTATCAAAGATTTATTGCTAACATTAAAAAAGAGTAACAGGTACTGTTATCAAATTCGCTACAAACAATATAATAATAATGGTTCAAATTAATTTAACGTTAACTATGGGATAATGAAAATGAATTATATATGATTAACTGCTAGTAAATGCAATGTCAACTCTGTAATTATATATAGCTAGAGATGCAAATAAAATAAGAGATGAAAACAAATAATTCATACTATATTTTTTTCTATGGCTATAAAATATTAAGTGAATCTATTTAATATTTAGAACACTTTTTTTAAAAAGGTCTCTTTTAGCCTTAAATAAATATTTCTAATTTTTTCCCTGTTGAATTTTAAAACTTTTTTGAATCTGCATATATATTGGATGTATTCCACTCAAGTTGAATATATTTATTTTTATAATATGGTCATAAAATAGTTATTGTTAGAAAATAAAATCAATTAAATTAAATATCTCATTATTTTTCTTTCAGATTATAGAAAGTGTGTTGAAATCTTAAAAAGTATATTATGTGATTTGGATTCTTCATTTACAGATGTTACTAGTACAGATTTGAACTGATTGTATTGACCAAAGGTTTAAGAGCAATATAATGTTTTTAATTTTGTTATGAATCATCAAGTTTTTAAATTAAATGAATCAGTTTTGAAAATTCTTGAAAATAAATCAAATTTTTGATCAAAATTAAATCTTAACAATTACAAAACAAAAATCAACTCATAATGTAAGAAAAATCACAAAAAAAATTATGAAACTAATTTCATAATCTCATAAGAGATGATTAATTAATCATTAATGGAATGCTTTGTTTGCTTAATAATAAAGAGTTGTTAGATCTAATAACCATTTAAAAATGAATAATTAATAATTATTATAATCAAATCAGTCAGGTATCTTTTGCATATTAAAATATAACTCAGGGATAAAAACAATAAGTTTAATAGAACTATTGATACGAAACAGAGTAATATAAGGGGTTCTTTTATATTATTTAGTTCAATAATTGAGTAGTGATTATCATATTATTCAGCAGCATTGCTTTTTCTTCTTGGATGAGTCTGGCTGGGTTTCTTTCTTTAACACATAAACATCATTGATTCCTAATTGAGTCTAACTTATTGGTTTCTATCCTTAGACAATTTTATATATTTCTAAGTTTATCAGAATTAATTAATTACCTGTAACCATCTAATTAAATGCTAACTCCACATTTACATTATTCAGTGCCGAGGTTTCTATATATCCTACCTTATTTTACTCACAGAATTAGGAGACTTCATCAGTCCTTACGATCTTTATCAATTATAAGACATACTCTCTATTCTGCCAAATCAATTTTATTTCCTACCAACATTATCACAATATTAGGATCCCCATATTACTTTATTTCACTCATCCATCTTAGTGTTGATTCATATGTTCCTTATTTTGTAACATCATAACAAACAAACACTCCCTTTGCTCCTCTATAATAAGCACTAGTTATTGCTCTAAATCTAAGAGTTATTTCAAACTCTCTTACTTTTCTTATCCTGCTGTATCCCATATCTAACACTTTATCAAATTACCATCCTCCCTCACAGTCCTATTTAAGAATTCTACTCCTATTGTTGGTCGAGTATCATATTAAAAATCCTTATATTGCAATCTATTGAATAAATTAGTCTTCCCCACTCCTGAGTCACCTAACCATTATTTAATCACTCTACCTATCAATATAATTTTGAACAAATAACTAAATTCATCATTATCCAACATATGTATTTTTTATAATATAAATATTTAATTCGAGTATTAAAAAAGCAATTTCATTTTATACCCTTTATCTCAAATCTATTTTTTGTTTCTATTTAGTATTTGAATTCTCTCCCTTTTCTATTCAATTCTGCAAATTCTCTTTTCCATATAAATATATTAAATCCATTAATTTCATTGAAAAATTTATAATAATTAGAAAGAGAACAATTGTTTAATAAACAGAAAATTAATTGAATTTGATTATAAAAATTAGAATTATCAATATCAATAAAACTCGATTTTTCTAATGCAAAATCAAAATCAATTAATATAATCAACTCATCCTTTTAGAAATATAATGAAGAATAAACTAACTAATTGATTTAAAATAGTAGATCATTTAGAAAATAAATTTGTTTATCTTAAATATATCTAATAAATGAAATGCCTCAATCAAAAAAAATATTTATAAAGATAAATTTATAATTTAACATTTCATATAATGTATGCTTTTAATAAAAAAGTAAATTATATATAGCGAATGAAATGTTGTTCTGTAGATAGGATTGATAAAACAATCTCATCCTACGAACATTCTAATAAATTTTTTATAAATGTATAATAATTTTCCCTATATAAATTTATTAAATCATTTCATCAGAACATGAGATATCCAAAAATGATTGATGATAATCCAAGAATGTATCCTGAATCAGTTGTTGTCTCATTATTTGTGTTGTTTGTATTATTATTTGTATCATTTGGTTAAACAACAACAGCAGTGCAAACTCCGCATTTGCTAGTAGATGCATTCCAAGTATATGTATATCCAGAAACCAAGAAACAATCATTTAATGATAAAGTTGATGGATCTGTGGCTGTGCATGTTCCACTAACAAGAGTACAAATTTATTAAGTCTTTTTATCCCAATTTAAAAATCTTGTGCATGCTCCATTTGTAGCTTAGTTTGTAGCACAAGTATGAGTTGCACATTTACTAGCAACTGCAGTTGTTCCAGTTCCTGATGCTGCAGTCCATGAACATCTATCTTTGGCAGCTTAACAGGCAAGTTAATCATTATTAGCAGTTGAGCATGCTGTCATTAAAGCACAAGTTCCTGTACCAGCAGCAGCTCCAGTAGCAGTTGATTAAGTGAATACACAAATACCATCTAATCCACCTGAATTACATGCTGTCTTAGTTGTATAAGTTGAACAATTAGCTTTTGAAATACAAGCAGTTCCATTTGAAACACATGATGATAAAGCAACTGAACAAACATTGGTTGATGTACCATTTTGAATATCAGCACAAGCAAGTAATCTACATTTAGCTGTGTTATTATTTGTAGCAGATGCAAGTTCCCAATAACAAATACCATCAGATCCAACAGCTGTTGTGCAAGCAGTTTAAGTAGTGTATGAGGAACATGCTCCTTTGACTAAACATGTTGTTCCATCTGATGTACATGTTGATAATTATGATGAACATGTTGCATGTGTTGTTCCAGTTAAATCAGCACAGGATTAATCTCTGCAACTACTAGCAGTTGTATCCCAAGTGCAAATACCAGTTGAAGTAATGGCTCCAGATGTTAAAACAGATCCTTTATCATTGAAATAACATCCTGCTTATGTAGTGTAAGATGAACAAGCACCTAATGCAATGCAACCAGTTGTTCCATTTGTTGTACACTTCTTATTGGCAATTTAACAATCTGAATGAGTTGTGTAGAAGGCATCAGCACAAGATGTATATGGTTTACAAACCTTTGGATCTGAAGAATTCAAAGCTGGAACTGATTGAATACAAGCTCCATCATATCCTGTAACACATCCACCATCAGTATTTGTTTCAGAACATAATGTAATTCCAACACAATTAGATCCATTAGTTGTACATTAGTTACTAATCCATTTACATTATGTATCTGAATTCCAAGACAAACTCTTGCATGATGTATATCTGAAACAAGCACCTTTTGATCCATCAGTATTTACATAATCATTAATCCACAAACATGGTCCATTAGTTCCTTCAATGCAAGCACTTCTGATAGTAGTTTATTCACAATTTTAAACTCTAGCACATTTTCCATTGGCACCAGCAGTACATCCTTACCTTTAAGTTTGACATGCGGCATGAGTAGTTCCACTGAAATCTTAGCAATCTTTATCTCTGCATTTATTTTATGCACTATCCCAAGCACACACAGTTCCATTAAGGGCGGTAGTACAAGCAGCATCAATATTAGCAGCTGAACAAGTAGACTTAGTAACACATCCACCACCATTCTTTGTTGTACAATTAGTGAAATAACCTGCACAAGCTGCTTCTGAAGTCAATGTAACTGGGGCAGTATTACAAGTCTTGATTGTACAATAAGCTGCATTGGTACCAACAGCCGACATCCATTCACATTATTGATTAGAAACTGAAGTAACACAACCAGCTTGACTTAAAGCTTAGAAGCATGTTCCTCTTGTGACACAATTTGTACCATTTGTTGTACAAGTACTCAATGCTTATTTGCATAAAGCATCAGTAGCAAAAGCAAAATCTTCACAAACTTTTGTCTTACATTTTACTGAATCTAAAGTACATCCAGCTAAATAAGTATTGCATTCATCAGCAGTAGCTGTTGCTTCTGGAGCATTTTCACAAGTTCTAGTAATACAAGCTGTTCCATTCCAATAACAGGATTTTCCATTCTTATCAGTAACACATTATTTTTCAGTCATAGTTTCACATGTATCTGGTATATCAACACATCCTTATCCCGATGATGCGACTGTACATGCATTATTAAAGTATGCTCTACATTTATCATTATCATCATAATCTGTACTTGCAGGAGCAGTAGCACATGACTTATCTGCACATTAAGTACCATTCCATCCACAAGCACCTCCAGTAGCATTGAATTTGCATTATTCTTAATGAATGTAAGTAGAACAGGCAGCTGTTTATTGACAACCTCCTAAAACTGGTGCACCTCCATTTGTATCTGGTGTTGCAACTACTGTGCATTTAATGGTAGCGGAGGTGAAGTAGGTATCACAATCAGTATGAGTTGCTGTTGCAGTTGGAGCAGTTGTGCATGATTTATCTTAACAAACTGGAGTAGTTAAATTTGTATTCCAAACACAAACACCTCCACTTGAATTAGTCTTGCATTAATCTTCAATTTAATAAGAACTGCAGGCTCCTCTAGCAGTACAACCAGCAACAGCTGCTCCATTTGTGGCTCTAACTGTACAAAGTTAGACTGGATCAACTGCTACACATTCAGCATGAGTGTCATATGAAGTTGTTGCTTCAATATTACCACAATTCAAATCGACACAAACCTTATTAGTTGGATTCCAGAAACATTTTCCACCACTTGTATTGAATTTACATTATTAACTGGATTTATATGCTGAACAAGCAGCTCTTGCTTAACAACCTCCAACTCTTGCGACAGTGCATGTAGATAGATATGTAATACATTCAGCATGTGAATCATAGCTTGTATCTGCTGTTGCAGTATCACAGGTTTTTCTGACACAAGATGTTCCTGAGACAACACATTCTCCTTCAACTGCCCAAACGCATGCTGCTGCAGTCTAACTGGCACATGTGGCTGGCAATGTTACACATGCAGTTGGTGATGAAGCTGCATTGGCAGTACAAGTATTCAACCAACCATTACAATCTGAATGAGTAAATGATGTTGTTTTATTAGCGCATGTTTTAGTTTAGCATCCTGTTGTTCCTTATGCTATGCAACCAGCTTTGAAAGTATTACATTTTGTGTCATCAAAACTAAATGTTGCTCCTAATTTGATTGATTCACAAGTAGTTGTAGCTGTTATAGCTTGGCAGGCAGTATCAGCAGTATTAGCAGTACAATATCCTGCAGTTGATCTATAACAATTGACAATCGTAGTATACCCTGAACATTATGCTTGGTTGGTTACACAACCAGATCCATCTCTCTTTACACTACAAGTAGTACTGTAACCTTAACAAGTAGCCCAAGAAATATTTGATCCTGTGATTGCTTCGCATGTGGTAAAAGCAAAGCATGCGGTTCCACCAATATTAATATGACAGGCAGTGCTATAGGCTTAACAAGTTGCTTCAACATTATTTGGACTAGTCAAACTTGTAAGAAGATTACAATTTGCTGATGTAATATCTACACAATTAGTGCCATCCCAATGGCATTTCAAACCATCAGTTCTATATGAACAAGAAGCTTATGTTGTTCCATAACCTGCACAAGTTGCTTACACTGCTATGCATGCATTTGCTGCTTGATTTATGGTACAAGCAGTACTGTATGATTAACAATTAGCATGAGTGTTATTAGGGCTTGTCAAACTTGTAAGAGAAGCGCAATTTGCTGATGTAATATCTACACAATTAGTGCCGTCCCAAAAGCATTTCAAACCATCAGTTCTTTTTGTACAATTAGCTTATGTTGTTGTATATGCTGCACAAGTGGCTAGGTATGCTTAGCATGCATTAGGAGTACGATTGATATGACAGGCAGTGCTATAAGCTTAACAGGTTGCCTCGACATTATCTGGACTAGCCAAACTTGTAATGGCGCTACAATTTGCAGATGTAATATCTACACAATTAGTGCCATCCCAATGGCATTCCAAACCATCAGTTCTTTTTGTACAATTAGCTTCTGTTGTTCCATATCCTGCACAAGTCGCTTGTAATGCTTAGCATGCATCAGGAGTGCCATTAATATGACAGGCAGTATTATATGCTTAACAAGTTGCTTAAACATTATTTGGAGTTGTCAAACTTGCAACAACACTACAATTTGCAGATGTAATATCTACACAGGTAGTACCATTCCAAAAGCATTTCAAACCATCAGTTCTATATGAACAAGAAGCTTATGTTGTTCCATAACCTGCACAAGTTGCTTACACTGTTTAACATGCATTTGCTGCTTGATTTACAGTACAAGTGGTGCTTTATGCTTAACACAAGGCATGAGTTGTTTGGGTTATTAAGGCACAAGAGAATGTACAAGCATCTGATTCTGTAGCACCTACAGCGTTAGTACAACCTGTTTTAATAGATTCACATTGAGTTTTTGTACCTGTGAATGTTGAACATGCACCTTGAAGATATGTATTAGAAAAGCATTTGCTATAAGCGGATTTCCAGGTGCAGTCATCTGAACTAGAAGATAAAGTTCTATAACATTATGCCTATGATACATAGTCACTGCAATTAGCTGATCTTGTTACACATCCTGCTCCGCCAGTTTTGTATAAAACTGTACAAGTATCAGAAGGAGTTTGATAACTCAAACATTCGGAATCACTATCTCTTGTATTGCTATCTTCTGCATCTGCACATGTTGCATTTCTACATGCTGTTCCAGTCCATATGCAAGTTTTTCCAGCAGAAGTTATTTTACAATTTTCAGCTGATCCATAAGAAGTACAAGCTGTAGCTAAATTTTAACAAGTTGTTTTTGCATTATTGGTTGTGCATGTATTCAAAACACCTTAACAACCAGAGTGAGTGGATAATGGAATGTTTACACATGTTCTATCAACACAACTAGAACCATTCCAATAACAATCTCCATTTGCTTTTGAACCAGTTGTGCAATTAGTTGAAGTCAAAGAAGAACAACTTGATGGTTTTGGAATGCAGCCATCTGCTGTGTTATTGGCAATACAAGTAGACAAATAAGTAGAACAATTTGTAGAACTAAAAACTGTCAAGAATCCTGTTGTTGTTGCAATGCTAGCAGTAGTACAAGATTTTTCAACACAAGCTAATGTAGCAGTATTCCATAAGCATGTTGGTGATCCAACTCTTGTGATTTCACAATTTTCAGTTGATTTTCTAGCTGCACATGTTGTTGGTAAGTCTTAGCATCCTTAAATTGCTCCATTAACTGGATTATTAGCTACACAACCTGTTTTGTAAGTACCACAATCAGCTGTTGTTGCTGTTGTTTTTGGGGCAGTGGAACAAGCCTTATCAATACACTATGAACCATTCCAACCACATACAGGGTATGATTTAACTCCATTTGTAACTTATAATCTAATATTACATGCTGCTTCAATTGTGATAGCTTCACATTTAAGTGGTAATGGAACACATCCAGTACCTGTATTACTCAAGGTACAACCAGAATCATAAGTTTAACAATCTGCATGAGTTGCTGTGGTTGATGAAGCTAACACACATTCCTTTTTATAGCATTTTCCTTTCCAAATGCAAGCTTTATTATTCAAATCTTTGTCACAAATAGTTTATACCAATGAATTATCGCATGTTTTATCAACACAACCTGCATTAGTTGAATTTACTGTACAAGTTGATAAAAAGGCAACACATAAATCATGAGTTGTATTAGTTGATGGAGCATTGACACAAGTTTTATCCTTACAAGTTGAACTTGCACTATCCCAGAAACAAGTAGCTCCAGATATATTCTTTATGCAAGCAGCTTCTAAAGTAATTACTGCACATGTAGTATTTGCTACACATCCACCTCCTGTCTTTGTAATACAATTATTATTAGGTAAATATGCTTCACAGGCATCGTTTGTTGTTATTGTTGTTGGAGCATTTGCACAAGTTCTATTTTAACATCCACCTCCTGTTTTAACGGTACATGATGATAAGTAAGATGTACATAAATCGTGAGTATTATTTGTTGTTGGTGCATTGGCACAAGTCTTTTCTTTGCATGTTGTATCCCAAATGCAATCAGTACCGGAAGTATTTTTCACACAAGCGGCTTAAATGTTGGCAGCTGAACAAGCACCATTGGAAACACATCCTCCTCCTGTTTTAGTGATACACCCTGTCACAAATCCAGCACAAGCTGAATTGGTTGTCATTGTGGTTGGTGCATTTGCACATGTCTTATCAACACATGCAGTTCCAGTCCAATAGCAATCTCCATTTGAACTATTCTTAATACAGGCAGCTTAGATAGTAGCAGCTGCACAAGTAGTTCTAGTAACACATCCTCCATTGGCTTTTGTTGTGCATGTTCCGTCAGCTCTAAAAGTCTTACATGTCTCATCAGTTGTTAATGTAGCTGGTGCATTATCACAAATTCTGTCTTTACAAGCTGCTCCATCCCAATAACATGCAACTGATTTTAATTTATTCCAAACGCATTGAATTTCTAAAGTTTAATCACTACAATTATTTCCACTATCAACACATCCACCTCCAGTCTTTGTTGTACAAGTTGATATGACATCTCTGCATTCTTTATCTGTAGCAAAACTTGCTGGTAATTTATCACAGGTATTAGCATCTACACAAGTGTTATTTGTTGTATCCCAATAGCACAAGCTTCCAGCAGCATTTTTCTTACAAGGTGCTTGTTTTTTGTATGTACTACAAGCATCAACCTCGACACAGTGAGTTCCATCTGTAATACATCTATTACTTATTGCTTAACATTCATTATCTTATGTTTTTGAAAAAGCAGTGCATCCTGTAAAGTATGTGCATTTGCCTTGAACCCAGGCACAAGCAGCATAGTTACCGCAATCAGTACAGGGTTTAGCTTTTGGACAATCTGCTTCAGCAAATGTATCACAATATGCTGCATAGGTTACTGTTGGAGTGACTGGAGTAGTAGAAACTGCACAAGCTTTCTTTGTGCTATCCCATGAACAGCCAAGAGAGGCATTTTTTATACAATCTCCTTCTGATAACAATTATGCACATGTGCATGATGTTATACTATAGGTTTGACTAGTTGCTAAAGCAAGCAACAAAGCAAATATTATGAATTATTTATTCATTTAAAGTATTATCATTATAATTTCTCAAACTCCCGTTAAATTGCTTGCCTTCATAATTAATTTATTTTACAAATATTAAGACATCATATTTTTTTAAATTGAATTAGGATTATTTTCTTTTTTTCTTAATTCACATTATTATTATTTATATAATTTTCCATTCAACAGAACCCTATTGTTAAATACCATTCTGGTCTGAATAAAAGAGAGACAATTCTTTGTTGGCCGTATTATTTTATTTTTTTGTTATCATTTGCTCTAACTCTGTTTCCAAATCTGCTAACAAGACATAAATTAAATGAAAAATTCAATCAAGTATTTGCTCATTACTTAAAAATAGAAAATAAACCCTTATTAGATGAGTATGTCATAGTGATGGAAACTTACTTAATCTATAGCTTTCATACTAAAGCAAACATAGATTATGAATCACGATAAGTATAATGTTCACAAAGAAAATGAAAAAGAAAAATAATACTAATGGATAAAAACAGAATGCCAACATTATCACTAAGATGTCATTTTAAGAGTATAAGAACATTTATCAAATAATCCACTACTAAGACTTGCTCAAACTACATTTTTAAAATATTAAGTAAGTGTGATTTGAACACTAATCAAATTTTTATATCCAGAATATTCTTAATTGTATAATTCATTCAAAAAATTAATTTTTTTTAATAATCGTAATACACTAAGCATCTCCATTTGTCTTAATATATATTGGCAGTAGATTATTTTAGGCTTCAGGTTCAAACTGTAAGAATAGTTAGAATTAGTAAGTATAACTAATAATGAAAAATGATTAATATAACATATTTTTTGGAATATATCAGGTAATTTTTAATAGCAATAATTAACTATGAAAATAATTATCAAGTTTATCTAGATGTATTTGGAAGCAGATTTTTCCAAATACTGAAGATCAAATGAAAATTTTTCTTCATTTCCTACCATTACTCGTTCCAAACTATTATAAATTTTCAGTCTAATCAATTTATGTATTATCTTAAATAAGTCTTCAAAGTATCAGAAATTCTTGTGTTAAAATATTAGATGGAGTATTGTTGAACTTTGAGAACATTTTTAATCTTGCGGTTTAAACAAATTTTCTCTAATCATTTTCTATTTGAGCAGTATGGATTAATTGATATTTAATTCATTTTATATGACAGTGTCATTTTTATTTTAATAATTTTCAAGAATGCTTGATTTTTATTGTCATTTGAATTTGTCAATATGTTGCAAAAGACACAAGTTAGATTATCAATCTAGTATACATTCTAACTATTTTAAACATGACCACCTTCAGCTTTACTTATGATTCTCAAAAATAGCAATAAATTAAAGTAAAGGTTTCCCTAATACTTTTCAATTTTTATGGAAAAATAGTAATATAAACTCAGTGTAAATATAATATTCTTTGTGCCTTAAAAGTTTTAGCATAGCATAGACCCTGAAACTAACTGGTATTAAGCTTTTCATTCGATTTTAACTTCTCTGGACCAACTTCGAAAACAATATTAAACAAAGGTATCTAAAGTCAACTTATGAATTCATAATCACATAATAATACAGAAATAATAGTTTTGAATAGATGCATATTAAATTAATGATATAAATTATAATTGATTAAATAAAGAAGGTCATTGCTTTATTTCATCCATTTTTATAGGGGTGAGAAAGTATAAGGTTCCGATTTAGAGAGATTTATTTTTAATTAACATAATAATATATTAATTTGATAATTACTTAAAGACCATATTTTAAAAATAAACACGGAAAATTTGGAAAATATTTAAGGCATCAGCAACATATTTAAAGAAGTTTCTCTTATGTTATCAAATTCACTTAAATTTAATATATATTGATAAATAAAGTATGAATTATTTGTTTTTCATCACTTATGTTATTTGTATCACGAACTGTCATAAGTAAAAAGAAAAATTAAATTTACTAGCAGGTAACAGTATACCATTCATTATCAAAAAAAAAACTTGTAATGATTCAGATTAAGAATTTAATTTTCTTAAATTAATTATTTGTAATAATTAAATATAATAACGACCAATAACAATGTACATAATTCATGATTTTCATAATTTTAGATATTTGTTTTTACTTCATAATGCAACCTCAAGAATTCGATTTATCAAATTAAAAATATACTACACTCTCGATAGGACTCAATTGATCCTCCTATTGTAATGGGACTCAACCTTTTAATTTGACTATATAAACAGTAAAGCTGAAGATAAATGAATTATTTGCTCCTTGGTTCCATCAGAATGCTTTAATCTCAGCAAAATAAAAAAAAATTTATTGAGGACGGTGTTAACCTATATTCATAGATAAAACTTATTCAATTCTTTATTAGTTTATTTTGAATAACACTTATGTAATTTCTTTATTTAATTCATCATAGTTAACTTCTCCAATATTACTTCAATTTAATTAAATAAATGAAAATAGATGAAATTAATTTTTTCTATTTTATTCTGTAACTAGAGTTTCTGCAAAAAGTGGTATTGATTAAACTGAATATAATCCATAGATGAACAAATATTCTCTTTCTATGAAGATTTTTATAATTCATATTTCTTTATGTGTGAAATTATCTATCTACCATTTATATAATTGGTGATTAATTTTTCATTTAAAAAAGAAATTAGAATTTTTTATAAATGTATAATAATTTTCCCTATATAAATTTATTAAATCATTTCATCAGAACATGAGATATCCAAAAATGATTGATGATAATCCAAGAATGTATCCTGAATCAGTTGTTGTCTCATTGTTTGTGTTGTTTGTATTATTATTTGTATCATTTGGTTAAACAACAACAGCAGTGCAAACTCCGCATTTGCTAGTAGATGCATTCCAAGTATATGTATATCCAGAAACCAAGAAACAATCATTTAATGATAAAGTTGATGGATCTGTGGCTGTGCATGTTCCACTAACAAGAGTACAAATTTATTAAGTCTTTTTATCCCAATTTAAGAATCTTGTGCATGCTCCATTTGTAGCTTAGTTTGTAGCACAAGTATGAGTGGCACATTTACTAGCAACTGCAGTTGCTCCAGTTCCTGATGCTGCAGTCCATGAACATCTATCTTTGGCAGCTTAACAAGCAAGTTAATCATTATTAGCAATTGTGCATGCTGTCATTAAAGCACAAGTTCCTGTACCAGCAGCAGCTCCAGTAGCAGTTGATTAAGTGAATACACAAATACCATCTAATCCACCTGAATTGCATGCTGTCTTAGTTGTATAAGTTGAACAGTTAGCTTTTGAAATACAAGCAGTTCCATTTGAAACACATGATGATAAAGCAACTGAACAAACATTGGTTGATGTACCATTTTGAATATCAGCACAAGCAAGTAATCTACATTTAGCTGTGTTATTATTTGTAGCAGATGCAAGTTCCCAATAACAAGTACCATCAGATCCAACAGCTGTTGTACAAGCAGTTTAAGTAGTGTATGATGAACATGCTCCTTTGACTAAACAAGTTGTTCCATCTGATGTACATGTTGATAATTATGATGAACATGTTGCATGTGTAGTTCCAGTCAAGTCAGCACATGATTAATCTCTGCAACTACTAGCAGTTGTATCCCAAGTACAAATACCAGTTGAAGTAATGGCTCCAGATGTTAAAACAGATCCTTTATCATTGAAATAACATCCTGCTTATGTAGTGTAAGATGAACAAGCACCTAATGCAATGCAACCAGTTGTTCCATTTGTTGTACACTTCTTATTGGCAATTTAACAATCTGAATGAGTTGTGTAGAATGCATCAGCACAAGATGTATATGGTTTACAAACCTTTGGATCTGAAGAATTCAAAGCTGGAACTGATTGAATACAAGCTCCATCATATCCTGTAACACATCCACCATCAGTATTTGTTTCAGAACATAATGTAATTCCAACACAATTAGATCCATTAGTTGTACATTAGTTACTAATCCATTTACATTATGTATCTGAATTCCAAGACAAACTCTTGCATGATGTATATCTGAAACAAGCACCTTTTGATCCATCAGTATTTACATAATCATTAATCCACAAACATGGTCCATTAGTTCCTTCAATACAAGCACTTCTGATAGTAGTTTATTCACAATTTTAAACTCTAGCACATTTTCCATTGGCACCAGCAGTACATCCTTACCTTTAAGTTTGACATGCAGC